CCAGGGTGTGGAAGGTGTTCTCCTTCCATCCCTTCTGCTGTTGTCTTCACAGTGCTGGCTTTCTTGTCCTGCTAAAAGGCAGTGTTTTGTGCAAAGCTTTTAACATTCCCAGGTTGGAAAGGCAGAGCAGCTTTCTCTGGACCTAGAAATAAACTTCAAAGCACGGCGATGTGTATGGTAGGTGTATGACTTACACCATGTTTTGATGCATTGAGTCAGCAGGCAGTTAAGTTTTGTTTAACTGAGGTTTTTCAAGTGATCTTGTCAGCTGGCTGTAGCGTTGCCATCTGGGGGTGTTAATGGTATGCATCTGAGAGGGCCTGCAGACTGAGCAAGGTCATCGATAGCTGGATATCCTGAACCAACCAGACTGACTTGGCTTAAAACAATCTTGAAACTTCACCCTTAGGCCAAGATTTTTATCTTGGCTGAAGTACAGTAGCAATTTAAGCTCTGAAAAATAGAGCTTTGTAAATAAAGCTCTATCATAACTTTAATTACTGGTTACTGCACATCTGTACTTGTGACTAGTAGAAGTACAGCTGGAATGGTCTGAGAAGAGGAAGGTGAACATTCATACTGTCAAAACACTCGTATAGTGGAACTGTAAGATTCTTTATCATTACCACACCCCCCCCCCCCCCCTTCAGTAGCTGCAAAATGTATGGAAACAGACTTGGAAAACTGTTGGATTACTTAGATTTCCTAGTTCACACGCAATTCTGTCTCTTAATGGTTGGCCAGGTGCCCAGTGGGGAAAAAGTGGTCTGGGAAAGTGGGTGGAAGGAATAGTTCAGAACTGAGTAGTGGAACTGTGTTGTGGGTGGTTTTGGGGGGCAAGCTGGTCATGCAGTTGGAAAGGAAGAAGGTGAGGGACCTTCTGTTTTACAGAGCTGTTAAAACAGTTTTGTATTTAGAGCCATATGCTTCTTCCCTATACACATTATTCCTGTGTATAGGTGGTTTGTTGCCACCTGTGATGACCCAGCCTGTTGATGAATTTGACGCTGTTTTCTTTGCAGCTTCTGGAAGAAGCAGTTGAAGTCTCATGGAAGTGTTTTAAGCAGATGCATTCCCTTCCTTGACATAAATGATGGAAGGTCTGCCTGCTGTACTGCTGGGGACCAAGTGTGTTGTGTGATGTATTCGCTGGTAGGAGATGAATAAGAGAAGAGCTAAAATGACCAATAATGCCTTTAGTGTAGGGTGAGTGGTTTGTCGAGGCACCAAAACAACTGAGAAACAAGGGGTTGTTTGCTGAGGCTGTGGCCCCTCAGTCTGTTTCTTGCCGTATGATGACTGCAAATATGGGGGCTCTTTATCAGTTGGTGACAAGGAGGTGACGGCACACTCAGGCTGTGGTGACCTGCTGAACCAGGGATGTGACAAGGATACAGCTGCAGGTGCACCAGTGTGTGGTGTTAGGGAGCAGGTGCTCTTGGGCGTACCCTGGTAGAAGTAGGCAATAATTTGCCCTTTATGCTCCTATTCCGGGGTTTTCTGAAAATCCAGCGGGGACTAGACTTGGACAATTCTGTGAGGCAGAAAGTGTGATCATACCAGTCCTATTTGCTACAGCTGGTTAAATAAGAGAGTGTGTTTTACACACCTGCTTGTTTTAGCCTACAATTCTGCCCAGCCTTTCTGCCCCATAGTCTGAAATGTGCGGTGCCATCCACAGTCTTGTGTGAGGATGCTCTTTGGCTGCCTTTTGCTCTGTGCCGAGGGAAGGACTCCACGTGAAGCGCCAAAGCTGGCACAGTCAGTATGCCACTGCTTGTTGTCTGCCAAGAAAACTCACCTAGCCAGCAGGCAGTCCTGGGGCTTGCTCAGAGACAACAGGCAGGCTAAGCGAAACGCTCCCGTGGCAGCAGTCGTCCATCTCTCTCTCTGCACACTGGAGCCCAGTGAGTCTGACCCGAGCACCCGCGCGGCGAAGCCTGCTGTGCCTGTGATCCCACTCCCCCTGAAAGAGGAAGGTGAGCAACCTGCCTGGCCAACATAGTTACTCACGAGAGGATCGTGCTGCTATAAACACACGCGTACTCATCCCCATCGCGGACGGCGTGTGTCTGGGTGAGTAGTGGGCAGGCTGCCTAAGCAGCTCATCCCGACCGTGGCCCAGTCCTTGCCTGTGCCTGGTGAGCTCGCGAGGAGGAGGAGGTTGCCTCCAGAGGATGCGTGGGATGGACTTGCTCTTCTTATGGCTGAGATATGCAGGCCAGAGGTGATCACCCTTGTCTGGGAAGGCAGTGGAGTAGAAGTAAAATAAGCTCTGTGGTATATGTGGGGTTGTTTTGTTGTTGTTTCTGTTTTGTGTTTTTTTTTTTTTTTTTTTTTTTAAATAAGAGAATTTGCTTGGAAAACCCTATAGACCTCCAAATATCCTAGGCATAGGGGGTAGATAGCATTTTGCTTCTCCTAAATTGAGAAGTGTTTTTTGTGAGATAGTGGCAAAAAGACAAATTTACACAAGAATTGTTGCCGATAGGGGCCTGACAACAACTCTTGAGTGCTTTGGAAATGTCTTACTGGACTGCGTTGACATCCATGCAACTGGTAACTGAAAATAAGATTTTGGTGGTGAAATAACTTGGGAAATGCTTGCAGTCTGTATCCTAGGAAGGTTTGTTTTGCTTATGCTTTACTTCCAAAAGAAATGTAGGAAACATTTAGAAAAAACAATTGTAGGTGAACAATGTGTAGCTTGTCCGATCTGAGCATGGATATTTTGTTGTCTCTCTTTTTCCCATGCACTAGCATTACTAAAACATGCAGAGGCTTAATATTTTGGAGGTCTCATGCCTGAATGAATTTAGATAGACCTTTGGGGGAAGGAGTGGGAATAGATAAACTGATGGTGCTGTTAAATGGAAGTGCTGCTAATGTTTCAGTTCAGTTTCTTTGGGAAATTCGTACACGGCTTCTCACTGTTCATGCTCTGCACTTCATTCGTGCATTGTGAAAATGAGTAGACAGAAATCTGTTAAGTCCATTCCGAATACTTCTTGTCTACAGCTGAGATTGCTTATGCTATAACATTACCTTCTGTTTTTATTGGAAGGGAATGACGTTAATATTTTGCTAATGCCTGGTCTAAGCTGACCTGACTCTGTTCAAGAGGATATGCAAATTAATGGAGCTAGAAGATCTTGAACGTTTGGGATGGCAGAGACCTGCAGGGATTAGAAATGACACTTAAGTAATTTCCTCTTGAATTTGATGCATGACTTGAAAGAGCATTTCAGGTCTTTAAAAATGCAAGATGGGCAGCGGGACTTGGAGAGGAGTAGTAGTGCTGAGACACTAGGGGTAGAGAGAAACAGCCAATTAAAGAGGGTTTTTAATGAAATACATCGAGGAAGACCTCTTTGTTCAACATCGTCTGCTTGGGCATTATTCTGCAAACCAGGGAAGTACCATTATAAAGCAGGGCCCATCATAAGTGCCGTTGGTGGTATTTAAGTCGTAGACCTGGTTTTGCTGCCTTATGGGAAAGGAACACAAATATCTGAGCACGATAAGAGCTCTTCCAAGAATAGATGGGACTACTTGAAGTGTAATGGCACAGATAAATTGTGGACAGATGCTCATTGTGCAAGCAGCAGTAGTAGTTGCTATCATAATCATCCCCCGCCCAAGGAATATTGCCGTCGCTGTGCTGGAGGTCACCACACCCTCGGATCTGCTGGTGGAGCAGTTTGGGGTGAGTGCTCCCTGCTGTGGGTTGAGCAGAGTCAGCGGGTTTAATTGAGGTGGGTTAACTAGTTGGCTTCTGCCAGCAGGCTGACTGAGTGGCTGAAGTGAGTTAGGGAGCGCTGGGCAGCAACTGTTGCTGCTAGCCAAGCTGCGGGGGCCCAAGGGCCCTGTCGGGGCAGGGGGGAGCTCCTCTGGGTACTGGCCATCTCTTAACACACCGTCCTCTGTAGCCAGGAGAGGTTGTCTGTTGGGAGCCTGAATGCTGGTGGCTTCTTTGGTGCAAAGAAGGGCAGTAACCTGTGGTTGTGAAACACTTCGTGCAAATGGCACAATTTGGTTTAATCTGTTTCACCAGCTTTAGCTGGTAGGTAGCCTGCGTCTCTGAGCACGACCTGCTGGTGGCAGGTCTCTCTGTGTATGTTAAAACAGATCAGTCTCCCTGTGATACCCTGTCTCTAAAACATGGCTATTTAGAAATACTGGTTGCCACGTGGTATAGTGCCAGAAAAACTCCAAACCCCCAAAACTGAACATCAGGACACCTTGCAGCAGGTTCTTTTGGTGTAAGTATTTCTGGTTGCATCAGAGACCCCATTTGTGGGGGTTTCTATAAGCTAGGGGTATCTACTGTGTTTATATGTTTATTTTTTTTGGAGGGGGAGGAGGGGCAGGGTTATACTAGGTTGCTAACTCCGTGGGGTTTTTTCTCTCTTCTTCTTCCCCTCTAATACACATCTTAAAAATAATTGGGAATGGTGGATTTTTTCCCCCTCCGGGCAGTATGAAGTTGCTTCTTAATAATCTGTTGGAGGCTTGGACAGAGTGGGAGTGGAATTGATTGTGTGGGTTTTTTTTCCTTCCTGCTCCAAGACCACTTCTTGGCACCAAGGAATTTTTCTTCAGACTTCTTTGGGGAACAGATGCGTGGAGTACAGTTACCACTCATACATACGGCTTTTAAAATATGGAAACTGTTGGACTGAAGTGGCTTCATATGGTGCTGTTGGAGAATGAGAATTAACACGCAAATTTGGCGTTTTAAGACTTGCATGTGTAGTTGAAAACTTTTTTTTATTGGATTTTTTTTTTTTGGTGATGTTAAACATTAGTCTGCTTTTTTATGGTTATTAATCAAAATTACATCTGTAACTCCGAAAATTACTCCCTCTGCAACCTTTAATGCCCAAAATAGTATCCTAGCTTAATCTTTTCTTCTGGGGATAAATATGTTACATAATGTGTGATTTAAATGATTGCAAATCTTAATTCTTTAATGTAGACATCTTTTTCTTTAATTGCAGGTTCCCATTTTGAAAGCCATTAGAAGATATTCTGCCACCCTATTGGATTATTCCCTATACAACGCAGCATGTCACTGTGCCCTGGATTTTATAAGGTGGCCATGATTTAATCCCCACTTCCAATTTCTATGTATTGGTGAAGCATTGGAGCTCTTTAGAGCTGCTGTTACTTGCGTGGAAACTGATCTGTCTTGAATCCCTTCTCCAAAGGACTAGACGTTACTAGCAATGAGCTCCCAAAGCCATCCAGGTAAGGGCAAAACCACTTTAAATCTAGTAACAACAGCAAAACACCATGTGTTTGTGGCACGAACAGACTTTTCATTGTGTTGAAATGATAATCTAATCCCCCTCCCTGGACTACTACTGTGTTGAAAAATGAGACTTTGAAAAATGGAGAACTGTGTTGCTGTTACCAGAGTTACAAGGAAATCTTGCCATTTTAGGTTTCTAATTGTTGCATTACATATCCCTGAAAGCTGTAGGTATTTTCTGAGATGTTAACCAGATGTTTAATTTGTTAAATCTATACTGATAAGTCTTTAACGGTATGCAGTGTATCTCTAAGGAATGGTCATGGTTCTGCTGGTGTGTCTTTACTGATATTTAAAAATTCTTTGACTTTTAAAGGACTTTTTAGTAGGAAAGAATAGTTTGTCTGGAATGAGTCAATTGATCCATCTAACGTTGTCTGGGGGGTTATCCCTAATGTGTTTTGTAATTTAAGACATGATTCGTCAGTACAAAATTGCACATTTCTGTCTGTCAAGAGGATCTGTACATACTCAGTTACCTGCTTTCTACCTTAAAGTTGTCTCATACATTCGTATTTAGCGAATTTCAGGTAACTTTGTGTTAGGCAGAGTTTTGTGAGCTTGTGCTTTGGAAGAGGAATTTTAATTGTGCTCTAATGTGCCTGCCTTGACTATTTCAGTTTATGGTAGAAAAAATGACTGCTGTGAAGCAAGTAATCCAACAATGACAAGGCACATGAAAGTACTTATTTAACTATGCCTTTGAGAGGTTGCTTTTGTGACTTCAGTTTAATCACTTTTGGGTTAACAATCAAATAAGACTGAAGTGTTAAAAGCCAACAAACAGCTCCTAAGATTTAAGGGACTATATATATTTGTGGGGGAAGAATTTTATATTTGCTTCAAAATTACTTCTAGCAGCCCATTTGCGTTTCTGAGGCTGGAGCAAGAAACATTGCAGTAAATAGGGATGCTGGAGTTCATGAGCAGCAGTGCTGAAAATCTGACTCTCGCGTAGGAACTGAAATAAGATTTTAAGTCTCTAAAATTATTGGTATCATCAAAAAGAAAAAATCTGGCTTCTACTTTCATAATGTAGCAGTCTTAGATTTTGAAACTTGCTTCTGGTGCTATGGGGAGTTGGGAAACTAAATATATTCATATGAGTAGAGTGCGTACAGGTATTCACCTGTGACATGTTTCTTGCAGTGTGATGTTTTTCAAGAGATCTGTTCTTCAAATAAGTGGGTAGTTGCTACTTGAATACTTTCATGTCTCAAATATGAATGAGACTGAGGAGCTAATGGTCTCCTGCTTTTTTCCTCATTGTGGTCGGATAGGTTAAATATATACCTACATGCAAAAACCAACAAACAAGCCTAACAGGATAATGTTTTACTACTTAAGGAGCAGTTCTCCAGATATTTGGGAATGGGGGATGTGCTTTTTAGCTGGGCTGTTCCGTTCACGCAGGAGTACTGGAAGCCTGCTGCTGATTTGTCTTGTTTTCCCTTAATTCATCTGCTAACTTTGTTTTTTTCCCCCCTCCAATCTTGCCTCTTTTTACTGGTTCTGCTACTTTTGCTCGAGTTCTGTGCTGATGGTGTAGCAGGGAGTCATGTAAGAAGGGCTAATGAAGGAAAAGAAGCGGCTCTTCATGTAAGAAGTGTTTCTGTAATGCTAAAAATCGGTTTGAGCCTAGCTTGTCTAACAACTGTGTCTGGAGTGGGCCCTGCTGAGCAGGCTGGTCTAATCAAAGCCCGGAGAAATGGCAGCCCAACTGGATGGTTTTGGACATAGGTATGTTCTCCTGTGCTGCTGTTCCTAAACGTTCTTGGCACTTGTCACCTTAGAGTGAGGTATCGGATGACTCGGTAAGAGTTAAAGTTGTGACTATGAGTGTTTTGTAGAAAATAAGACTATTAATAGGGGAAAGGCTTTCTTTTTTTTTTTTTCAAGTCTACTCTGGTAGTTAGCCCTTGCAAAGGTAAAGAAAGGATTACAGTTTTGTTATTTAGAAATACAGCTTAAACTCCATATTGACAGTAACCCTTGAAATGAAGGACATGTGAGAGAAACTTAAGGCCCATTGTCAACTGGTTCACTGGATATTATTTAAAGAGTGAAAAACATTTGTAAAACTGAAAAAGTGAAGGAAATGATCTCATGGTGCTATTTTTTACAGCATGGTGTTCTGCAGGTAGCCTTTGTATGAAAATATTTTCAAATGGTATCAACTTCCACAGAGTCTTACTTCTCATCAGATGCTGTTGAGAAATTCTCCCACTGCCCTTCCTAAGTGTTCAGTTCTTATTTTGGTTGTATTTCCAAGCTTTAGGTTGAAATTTTAGTGTATCATGGTGGCTTTTTACCTCTGGCTTATACCGTGGTATTCTTATTGCTTGTTTCTCTTTTAGAGTCAGTTTTATAATAATTGGTAGAAATACTTTCCAAACCTTGCCAAAGGTGACATCTGGACTTCTCATGTCACTTGTGATAGCTATTTTGATTATACAGATGCAGGTAATTATTACTAATGATGTGCATTGTTTAAGGGAAGGCTCTGGCTGAATTTAGGAGCCTATTAAACGTTGCTTCAGTGGATACAAGCTTTCTTCTCTAATCTTCTCCAAACTTATCACTAATGGGATGTTTTAGGAGCGGTGCCATAAAATTGTTGCAGCGTAGATGAATGAAAGTGGTTTGGGTTGTTTTCTTCACCCCCCTTTCCACTCTGCAAAACTCTCTTGTGAGAAATGTTGGGTACTGAAAAGGCTTCTCATTGAACAAGGTGAAAAAATACGGAGAAGGCTAAATTGTCTGAGCATAACACTTTGCACATTATTCCTCCATCACTGCCACTTCTTTTGTTATATTGTGCAGTAAACTTTCTCAGAGAGTAAGAAATAACTTTGGGAGAAGTAAGAACACCCAGGTGGGAGAAGTTAATCCTTAAGAACTATCAATGGGTAAATCAATCTGTCTTGAGCGCTGGACGTAGGGTAAGGACCGTGGCCTTTGTTTTCTGGGCCTGAGGCACTCTCCCACTTGAGCTTTGGGTTGAGACCAGCCACTCTTGTGAACTTGACTTGCCACAGAACCACACGTGGGCGTGTTGTGTGCGTGAGGAGCAGGTGGGCTGCTCCTGTCCCTCTTGCCACAAGCACCACGCACCTATCACGGTGCTCTGGAGGAACGACCAGCTCTCCACACATGTCGGCAGGTTTTGTGGGTTCCCAGGCAGGAATGGGAATCGATTTGGGGGGAACTGCTGGGCAGGGTGAAGGTGGGGAGGGGAAAGGGACTGAGGTGGGAGGGCGGGGTGGCAGCAGGACGAGCTTTCCCCTGCAGTGGTGGGCGCGGGAGGCTACGCAGACCTTGCCAAGGCAAAGCTCGGGGGCACTGCCTGCCCTTTGGCTTTTGGCGGAGGAGTTGCCGCTTCTTCGGGCGCTGGAACAAAGCTGAAAAAAACGCTGAAATTGTGCTATAAAAATCACGTTGCTGCAAAGTATAATTAAGAAAATTAGGCTAATTAAGATAACATTTAGGATTATGACAAAGCTGGGGAGGGGGGCAGGGGAAAGCATGTTTAGTTTCACTTCTTAACCTGTTATGTTGCCCACAATTTAAACTTGCCTTACGTAACCTGTGGTGCTGATGCTGCTCATCTTACCCAGACTGGGTTGTGAGTATGTGTGTGAATTTTTTTTCTTTTTATCTTTTTTTCCCTTTTTTTTTTTTTTTCCTCCCTCTTACTGACCTTAAATGATTTCCTGAAATCACCTTCTTACCCCCCCTTAATTTTCAGTGGTTTGAGTTTTACTATCCTTTGATTCTTTAATCAGTAAAGATTGTTCTGCTGATACTAGTTATACATAAAGATTAGTTTAAAAACCCAAAACACTTAATCACTCAACTGATTTGTATTTGTTTAAAGTTCACTTTCCTTTGTAAAAGCTGAAAATCTCCATGTTCAATGAAGCATTTTGTTTATGAAATGTTATCTTACAGGAATTAGCCAGTCTGAATGCAAATGCTATATTCTTTCTACGGAGCTACTCTTGCGGAGATGCAAATTTTATTTACATTTTGAAATGCTGAATGTTTGATAATTAGGAATATTGAAGTTTAAGAATGAGCTGCCTATCTGATATGGAAAAATCTGCAGCACAATCATCAAGGCTGAGAGGAGATAGATACCAGAGAAAGCAGAAAGCTTCATGATCCCACAGCACTGGGAAAATGAGTTAGCAAGTCATGTGCTGTGATTTGCTAGGCTGATAAGCACTTTTGTATGGTCTGTTATCTGCCGAGTGTGAGAAGCCACTCTCCTACTCCGTGGCCAAATGAGGCATGGAAAGCCATTTCATGCAGTATACATAAGAGCTTTCGCTGTTAGTGTCTCAAACATTTTGCACCTCCAATAAATATTTTATGTGTTGTCTTTTTAAAGATTAAGAAGTTTCTGTGGAGATGCATTTCAAACTGGCTTTAAATGACACTGACCTACTTTCTGGCAGTAATGAGTCCGTTTCTCTAAGTTATGTGGGGGCAAGAGCATCCTTACAATAAACATAGGGCCTGAATTCCAGTCCTTCTCTAGCAGGGATGGGGCACAACTGGTACTTGGTGGCTGTCATCTGGAGAAACATCTGGACGTGGTGTATCCCTGCTTCCCCTGCCTGTCTGATGCTCCAGTTCATTACAGCTGGATTACTCTAGACGGGGCATTCAGGCTCCTCTACACAAGTGAAACACTACTAATAGAGAGTATAGGTAGAACCTCATTATCTCTGATGCTGTCTTTTCTCTACATGGAAATACAAAGATTTCTCCAGACCTGCCCTTTTCCCACACTGCCATGTGTGTGCTTCATGGGAAGCTGAAGTTTTGGGGGAAAAGTTCAATTGTTTGGCAGGTCCAGCAGAGGTAACAGGAACTCCTCTGAGGGGACGCTGCTGCCTGTCCTTTACAGCCGTAGGGGAAGCGTTGAGCA